GACGTCTCCGTGGACAAGTTCTTCTCGCTGGTGCGCTTCCGGCAGCTGATGGACCGGACCGCGTCGTGCCCCAACGACTTCTTCCAGCGCCTCGACCTGGACAAGAGCCAGAGTCTCTCGCTGAGCGAGATCGCGCGCTTCATCCAGAACCCGCGCAACAGCGAGGAGCGCCAGGACCCGTCCGGCACGGACGCGGGCGCTTCGGGCGCCGACCCCTCCAAGCTCGCGGAGCTCGTCTTCTCCGCGCTGGACGCCGTGGGCGGGGAAGACATTGTCCGTAATTGCCTGCGCCCTCGCGGCCGGCCCTCCTCTTGGCATCGCTCGGACGTGTGTATTTCTATCTCGGCGAGGGCCCTTGAGGAGCATCCTCGATCATTTGGCGAAAAAACCGCGCACGAACCCTAAAAAGACACAGGGAATGGACGTCCGAGCGATGGCCAGTCCCGGGCGGGGCGGCCCCGCGGATATGCGGGGCGGCCCTGCTCGCGGGCCTCGTGCGGCGCTCGTCCACTGAAATAGTAAAAAAATAGTTCAAAAACAGTTTGGGGACTATTTCTTGAGTATTGTTTGACCTTGTTCGAGTATTTTTGGTGTATTTACCTAACATCGAAGACTGGTAGGTTTCTAGTAGTGTCAAAAGAGAGCAGCACATTACTCCACAGGGGGGTCTGGGCAGCCGTTGGGGACGAGTTGGGGTTTGCCGGCGGGGATCGTTTTTCGCATACAGTCACACACTTCGTGCTCTTCGATTTCCCAGAACTCCATTCCCGGGCCACATTCTGAATGCCCGGAGCCAACTGTAGGCCACTTCGTGCTCTTCGATTCCCAGAACTCCATTCCCGGGCCACATTTTGGATGCCCGGAGCCAACTGTAGGCCACTTCGTGCTCTTCGATTTCCCAGAACTCCATTCCCGGGCCACATTTTGATGCCCGGAGCCAACTGTAGGCCACTTCGTGCTCTTCGAGTTCCCAGAATTCCATTCCCGGGCCACATTTTGAATGCCCCGAGCCAACTGTAGGCCACTTCGTGATCTTCGAGTTCCCAGAATTCCATTCCTGGGCATGATTTTGAATGCCCGGAGCCAACTGTAGGCCACTTCGTGTTCTTCGAGTTCCCAGAACTCCATTCCCGGGCCACATTTTGAATCCTGAGGCAGGCTGAGGCTGAGGCGGAGGCAGGCTGAGGCTGAGGCAGGCTGAGGCTGAGGCCGAGGCTGAAGGCAGACTGAGGCTGAGGCTGAAGCAGGCTGAGGCTGAGGCAGAGGCAGGCTGAGGCTGAGGCAGGCTGAGGCTGAGGCAGGCTGAGGCTGAGGCTGAGGCTGATGCAGGCTGAGGCTGAGGCAGGCTGCGGCTGAGGCTGAGGCCAAGGCTCAAGGCAGACTGAGGCTTTGGCTGAAGCAGGCTGAGGCTGAGGCTGAGGCTGAGGCTGAGGCTGAGGCTGATGCAGGCTGAGGCTGAGGCAGGCTGAGGCGGAGGCCGAGGCTGAAGGCAGGCTGAGGCGGAGGCTGAAGGCAGACTGAGGCTGAGGCTGAAGCAGGCTGAGGCTGAGGCTGAGGCAGGCTGAGGCTGAGGCTGAGGCAGGCTGAGGCTGAGGCAGGCTGAGGCTGAGGCTGAGGCTGAGGCTGAGGCTGAGGCTGAGGCTGATGCAGGCTGAGGCTGAGGCAGGCTGAGGCGGAGGCCGAGGCTGAAGGCTGAGGCTGAGGCTGAGGCTGAAGCAGGCTGAGGCTGAGGCTGAGGCAGGCTGAGGCTGAGGCTGAGGCAGGCTGATGCTGATGCAGGCTGAGGCTGAGGCTGAGGCTGATGCAGGCTGAGGCTGAGGCAGGCTGAGGCTGAGGCCGAGGCTGAAGGCAGACTGATGCTGAGGCTGAAGCAGGCTGAGGCTGAGGCAGAGGCAGGATGAGGCTGAGGCTGAGGCAGGCTGATGCTGAGGCTGGCTGATGCTGAGGCAGGCTGAGGCTGAGGCTGAGGCTGATGCAGGCTGAGGCTGAGGCAGGCTGAGGCGGAGGCCGAGGCTGAAGGCAGACTGAGGCTGAGGCTGAAGCAGGCTGAGGCTGAGGCTGAGGCAGACTGAGGCTGAGGCTGAGGCAGGCTGATGCTGAGGCAGGCTGAGGCTGAGGCTGAGGCTGATGCAGGCTGAGGCTGAGGCAGGCTGAGGCTGAGGCCGAGGATGAAGGCAGACTGAGGCTGAGGCTGAAGCAGGCTGAGGCTGAGGCTGAGGCAGGCTGAGGCTGAGGCAGGCTGAGGCTGAGGCTGAGGCAGGCTGAGGCTGAGGCTGAGGCTGATGCAGGCTGAGGCTGCGGCAGGCTGAGGCTGAGGCGGAGGCTGAAGGCAGACTGAGGCTGAGGCTGAAGCAGGCTGAGGCTGAGGCTGAGGCAGGCTGAGGCTGAGGCTGAGGCAGGCTGAGGCTGAGGCAGGCTGAGGCTGAAGGCAGGCTGAGGCTGAGGCTGAGGCTGAGGCTCAGGCTGAGGCAGGCTGAGGCTGAGGCCGAGGCTTCAGGCAGACTGAGGCTGAGGCTGAAGCAGGCTGAGGCTGAGGCTGAGGCAGGCTGAGGCTGAGGAAGGCTGAGGCTGAGGCCGAGGCTGAAGGCAGACTGAGGCTGAGGCTGAAGCAGGCTGAGGCTGAGGCAGAGGCAGGCTGAGGCTGAGGCAGGCTGATGCTGAGGCAGGCTGAGGCTGAGGCTGAGGCTGATGCAGGCTGAGGCTGAGGCAGGCTGAGGCTGAGGCCGGGGCTGAAGGCAGACTGAGGCTGAGGCTGAAGCAGGCTGAGGCTGAGGCAGAGGCAGGCTGAGGCTGAGGCAGGCTGATGCTGAGGCAGGAGAGCTGAGGCTGAGCAGGCTTAGGCTGAAGGGGCTGGACTGCTGTGACTCCGTTGCCACTGCGACTGTCATCGCGAATGCGATACGACTGCGAAGAACAGCAGAATTCTACAAACTGGATTCTCATTGAATCTTAAGGGGAATTTTTCCAGATATGCTCCTACACATCGGATGTTTAGTTGCTTTAGCCGGATAATCTTGTACATGCTTGTCGTCGAAAATCCCTCTGTAAGGGGGGGACACGCCCGAATAAGGCTAGGACGAGGATGAAGACCGCTCTGGAGCGTTTCCAGAAAAAGCTATCGGAGCGCTTTTTTTTCTTTTTTTTTTTTTTCTTTTTTTTTTTTTTTTATTCTTTTTTTTTTTTTTTTTTTTTTTTTTTTTTTTTTTTTTTTTCCGGAGCCCGCTGCATCCTCCAGAGCCGTCGGCTCTCAGAGCTTCTCGAGTCAGGTCCCCCCCCGAACCTGTCCGCGCCCCGGCTTCGTCTCTCGTGCCCGTCGCCCGCGAGGACGCGAACAGGGACGGCAAGATCGAGTCCTGGGAGTTCCAGCAGCAGCTGGCGCTCGCCGCGCCCCCGCGCCTCTCGCTGGTGGCCCTGACGGCGCACCTGGAGATGAAGCACGGCTTCGGGCAGTCGGGGCTCCACGGGCCGGTGGTCGGCCTTTGCGCAGGGGGGGGGAGGTTTTCTTGGGGTCGAGTCGGGCCTGTCCCCCTACAGGGGGATTTCCGACGAAACATTAAAAATACCACGAAAATAGTCCAAACATGGTCCACAAATAGTATAGGGACTAATTTTTGAGTATGTTTTGACCTTTTGGTGGTATTTTTGGTGTATTTTTCATTTTTTGGCGAACATCCCCTAGTAGGGGGACACGCCCGACTTAATCTTAGGATCCAGTCGGACATGTTCCTCTACTGTCAGGCGATGGCAAACATAGATTAATGGGCGTGGCTTAGCGACGTGTCCCGTTTCCATAAGAAACCGCGGATTTCCGCCGCCACGCGAGGCGGCTCTGGCCGCATTTTGGGGGGGGGCGCCTCCCCTAACGCATGGATTTGGCGACCGCGCGCCAAATCCATGGATCGCTGATCCATGTTTGCGCGCCCCCGATACTGGAGGACTATTCAAAAATAGTCAGACAATGATCTGATGACGATGTGATGAACAAAATGCGCCTGTAGGAGGACAGGCCCGACCTAATCTTAGGAGCACCCTGCTTCTTTGCAGGCGCGGGCCCTCTCTAGATAATTAAGACTGGCGCCTTTTCAGAGGCGGACTCCCTCTGAGAAGCCATGCCCCTTCCCCTACCCCCTTGTGCGCGCCGCCAAGGTGGACAGGGCGTTGCTGTTCGAGTACCTGTGCAATAGGCAATCTTTGTTTCGATCCGATCGAGCCGACTCCGTTCCCATATTCGGGCGAGCCGATGAGGCCCGGAGCTTTGGTGACGTTGTCGTGCATCTTGGCGCGGCTGATTCGATTCCGTGCCTATGCACAGCCCGATCCGATGCACGCCCCCGAACCGATCGGATTTCCCGATGGGGTGCTATCTGACCCTGGCAGGGAAGCGCTGGACCTGGCCCCCGAGGACGTCGCGCGCTGCCTCCGCGTCGCCCGGAGCTCGAGCGCCGCAGGCAAGAGGGGTCCGCCAGCACAGGACGCCGACCTCGAGGGCACCGACGTGGACGCCTTCCTGAGGTCAGCGGGCGAAGAACGGTGTCACAAAAACTGTTTCGCCGTCGGGGGTGCTTGCCTGGGCAGCTGGAAAGTTTGTACCCCTACGGTGCCACCGTAGGGGTACAAACTTTCTAGCCGCCCTGGGATAGGTGCCCCCGATTGATGGGACTGTTTTCCACCACCACCATACGTTGGAGGTGCAGGGGCTCCTCCTCCTCCTCCTTCTCCTCCTCCTCCTCCTCTTCGTCCTCCTCCTCATCGTCCTCCTCCTTCCCCTCTCCAGCTTATAGTGGTGGTGGTGGAAAACAGGCCCATCACCGATAGCGAAAACGTTTTTGTTGCACCGTCTTTGCCCGTGAGTGAGGATCCTGCCCGTCGACGCGGTCTGGGGCCTGGACCCCTACATAGACCAGTATTATGCCGCCTTGGGCACCCGGGTGCTGATGCTGGAGAGACCCCGGCGGGGAGACGCGTGCGTGCCGCGGGAGGCCCTGCTGGAGCACCGCGAGAAGGCGCCCGACGAGGCCGAGCTGCGCGCGCGGTTCGGCCAGCTGTGGGACGCCGCCGCGCTGATGGGGAGCGCCAAGGATACCCGTCGGTCGTTGGAAGCAGGTAATTCTGGATGCCCTGAACCCAATCTACTTCAAGCGCCTTCCTACTTCAAGAATCGATATGGTTTGGCTGTTGTTTGCTATGACTTGGGCGGGCCCGAACCCAGTCTACTTCTATCCGCCTTCCTACTTCATGTTTCGATCTACTTCTTCCGACCGGCGTGCAGGGGAACGAATCATTACATACAGTAGAGTTTCATTCGCAGGCCGACCCTTGTGTCATGTGTTTCGCAGTCCATGCCCTCCACGTTCCACTGGCACTGTGGCCATCGGAAGGGTCTCGTGTCCTCTCGCTAGGGTGCCACACGCGAACCCTACCCCTACCCCCCACGATTTCTGATGAGGGGGAGGGTGGGGTTCACTTCGCTCGGGAGCTCCCAGACGAAGTGAACCCCACCCTCCCCCCCATTATCTCCTGGAGGCAGGGGTAGGGTTCGCGTTTTGTGGCCCCATAATCGCGTGTCCTCTCCAATCCACCCCGGACTGTAAACATAAAACTCGGAGGCCCGCGCGGCTATTTCCGGGGTGGGTGCTGGGCCCCCCCCCGGCGGCGCCTCGGAGCGCGCCCCTGGCGCGCTCTCCGCGCGCCAGGGAGGGGGGGGGTCCAGCGCGGAGCCGCGAAATCCGCGCGGACCTCCGAGTTTGTATGTTTTTATGTCGTCTGTCGTTCCCCCGAAAGGAAATCAAGGACGCGGGCATCGGGAGAGTGCACGAGGAGATTCGCGAGGGCTGCTTCAAGAGGTATGCGGCCGCTGCCGCCGCCGTCATGGAGTGGCGCGCGGCGCGGATGCAGGAGGCGGGCGGCCGCTTCCTCGCCAGGCACTCGAGGGCAAAAGCGGTGCCCATGCCACGCCCGTCTGCAAGCTGGCGCGCGCGCCGCTGTGGCATTCCTGATCCTCCCGGCAGGCACTTCGCCGGACCCCGCTCGCTCTTCTTCAACATCGGGGACGTGCTGGCCACGCCGTCGCACCGCCTCTACGCCGGCCAGGCGTGCGTGGTGCGGTTCCGCCTGCACGGCGGCGCCAGCTTCTGGCACCCGCAGCACCAGGTCCGAGGCAGCGATCGGGGTTGGATACCTCGGGGGCGGGCAGTACACGTATTCGTCTGGGAGCCTCGCCGAAGACATGGACCACGAGCGCCCCGGAATACCGTCAACCATGATCGTAAGAATGGGGCAACTTTCCAAGGCTACCCTTGCAGCCTTGCCCCTTCGGTGTTCGGCATCCTTCGGTATTCTGCTGCGCTCCGCACGGAGAACGTCAACAGGGCGTTCCAAGGCCCTTGCATCCTTACCGCGCATCCTTACAATCGTGGTCGAGTGTACGGTAGATTCGCGTCGTGTCGACCAGCGGCGACTCCGCCGCCGGCGTTCAACGCTGAACGCCGGTTGCAACCCAGAATTGGTCGATGTGGAACGATCTTACGTTTCGGAAGCGGCCGATGGTTCACGGTGGAACGAGCCGTGCGGTGTCAGACCCAAAGCCGCGGTCGACGCGACACGAACCTGCAGTGCGTGTATTGCTTCCCCTGGGCTATTCGCCCCCGTCGTTCCCTCTTCTGGACGCCCGAAATGGGTACGGAAAGAATGGGTACAATGCCCAACAGCAAATGTTGTCCCAAGCCAACACGACCGCTGTTGGGCAAGCGGCCTTCTGTCTCGAATGGACACAGGCCGCGGCGGCGCGGACAGCGAGTCCTGTTCAAAGTGGACAGGAATTGCTGTTGGGCATTGTACCCATTCTTTCCGTGCCCATCCCGGGCGTCCAGACTTCTGGTCAGGTGCTCAAGAACGAGCGGGAGCCGACCGCCTGGCCTCTGCAGCAGCAGGCGCTCGCCGTCGGCTCTCGTCACCGAGCGTGTTTCAGGAGGAAAAGAAACACACAGACACAATTAATCCTCGATTCCCCAGAAAATATGCGAAAATATGGGAAGTGGGGGGGAAGACAGAAACCCAGAAGATGTGGGAAAACATGGGGAATAGTTTTATTTGTGTGTATTTTTTTGTGTGTCCCAGGGCCCCTTCAGTGTTCCACGACTCGCCAAGAGTGCATCCTCGCAGGCGTGGCACATCCAGGCCATTTGCGCGAGTAGCTACTCTGCGAGTCGTGGAACGCGCTCGCCCGTTTCGCAAGGGCTCGGCATCGCTCGGACGTGTGCATTTGTTCTTCGGCGAGGACCATCGAGGAGCATCCTTGATCCTTTGGCGAAAAAGCCACGCACGAAACCGAAAAATGCACAGGGAATTGACGTCCAGGCGATGGCCAGGGGGCGGATCCCTCGGGTGGGAGCGTTCCTCGCGTGCATCCGGGGCTCCGGGCGCCCATGCCTTCGACCTGGCTCCCGGGCGGATGCGCGCCATGCCCGCCCCAATGGGGTTCTGTCCGCCCCGGTGTGCCTC